CAGGAACCACAGGCCAGCTCCAGAGGAACAGACTGAGGCAAATTCCTACCCGGTGCTGCCCCACCCAGCCCCATGGAGATGCTCCCAAAGCCCCATCGGGAGCTGGTTCATACAGGCAGAGGTTTGCCCAAGGCTTGGTGACAGCTCGGTGACAGCTCAGTGACCTGTGTACTGGACATGGGGTGCCCAGGGTAAACCTGGGGCTAAGCACGCAGCCAACTCACCGCAATGCACTTCTCAAAGGCCGTGATCTTGTCATGCGCCACCTCCTCCCGGATGGCCACGTACATGTAGGGCACATAGCTGAGGAAATAGATGATGCCACCACAGGCGGAGGCCAGCTTGGCCTTGGAGTAGAGCACCGACACCAGGAAGCTGCAGGGAGGACAGTGTCACCTCGGATCCTACCCCACCGGGGCCGATTTTGGTGGTGTTGAGGTGATAAACTGGCCCCTCAAATCAGCTGTCTGGGGGAACTTGCCAGCTCCACCGGCCCTTGCCCACAAAGCTCCCAGCACCCTCGCCCCATGGCACAAGGACCCCGGCGCTGCCCTTGACCCCTCACCCCGCGGAGCGGACCAGGCAGCTCACCAGAACATGATGGTGGCCACTGCGTAGATGGCGAGAAAGAGCCAGATGATGAGGACATCGCTGTGCATCAGGACCTTGCCGTACTTCAGGATGGCGGTGAGCGCCGTGACCGAGATGGAGAGCTGGACGAAGCCGGTGATGAACCAAGCCACCCAATGCACTGCGTTGTTCAAGCCCATCATCTTCATCACCTGCAAAGCCAAAACCGCTTGGCGGGGCTGTCCCCTACCCTGGGCATCCCTGCTGCCTCGCTCGCTCGGGCTGGGAGAGCAAGAGGCAGCACCAAGGGGTCCCTGGGGGCTGCTGGGAGTGGGCAGGCCACAGCACCCTGTGCCAGGGTGCCAACGGGCTCAGCTCCCTCTGGTGCGGGGCAGGGCTGGTGCTGGGGACACTCGGAAGGACCAGCTCAGTGCAGGGATGTGGGACCTGCGCCCACCCCAGCTCACGTGCCCTGGAGACATGGGGAAGGTGCCCAGGGACACAGCGCAGAACTTAGAGCTTAGAGATGCCAGCTCCTCCCCAGGGATCTCTCCCACCATCCCCACCTCTTTCAGGCGATGCTCCTTCTCCGTCACAATATGCTGGATCATCATGGCCACCGAGTAGACCCAGGAGATCACCATGCACAGGGGCATCATGTGTTCGATGACAAAGAGGAAGCTGGTGGGGTAGAGGAAGAGAGGGGAGAGCTGGATGGTGGCACCACCGCAGAGACCTGGGCAGACCCTGGGGCACAGGGCAGTGGAGGGGCTCTCCCACTGCTGGGGGACAACCAGCCTTCTGGTCCAGCAGCTCCTTAGTGCCCTGGAAGAGCTTCTCCAACGAGCCCATAGGACAACCTAGTGTCCTGGCTGTCAGGTCCTGGCAGGCAGGCGGGCAGCAGCCGCCGGCTCAGCCCGGTGCCCTGCCTACCCTGCTGTGGATGGGGCCCTATCCACTCTCCTGCCCTGGAGGGCTGGTGGCTCTGGGGCTTCTCCGGATGCTTCCTCCAGACCACTGTGTTCAATAACTACCGACAGACCCATGTGCCATCCATTTACCACATTCTTCTTGGTCTCCCCAAGTCTTTCAGCCTCCAAGACACCTCACAGTCGTGAGTTCCTCACTTCAGCTGCAAACTGGGCACAAAATCCTCCCCCTGCTTGCCTAGCCTGGTGGTCCAAGGAACAGGGCTCAACTGGTTGCTCATCACTCCCAATGTCACCAACCTCTCTCAGGTCCCCAAACTTATCCCTTTTTCCCAGCTGAAGTGTCCCGGCCTGCGAAGAAGAGGGAAGGTCCTGCCCCTGCCCACCCTTACCCATGCAGGTGTTACTCACTCGTCCCGGGTATAACATGGGTACGGGAACATCTGCACATAGTTCCCGGGCTCCACCACATCATGGCCAACAAACGTGTTGATGAGGGCACGCTCCATCATGTCTGGGGAGGAGGAGGAGAGGCCAAGCTGAGCGGGCAGTGTGGGCAGGGGCCAGGGACGTGGGCAGCTGCGGCAGGGAGCTGGCACTCACCCTGGATCCAGACGAAGCCGTAGAGGAAGTAGAAGCGGCCGCCAGTGTTGGGGCCAGGCCGCCAGTACGCCCGCCGGATCTCGTTGGTCTTCTCCGTGAAGCTGGAGTTCTGCCGGATCTTGTACATGACGTGGGGGGGCAGCGAGCCGTCCCTGTTGGTCTGGAAGATGACGCCTGCAGGCAGTGGGAGAGGCAGGGAGCCCGCTGGCACCACGGGAGACGGCCACACTGGCCGGCCCACACAGACGGGCAAGGATGTGAAGGGGTTCAGCGTGTCCCAGCCAAGGGCACCACGAGGGCTGCGATGGATGAGGAGGGTGGGCATGGCCCTGGCATGGGATGCGAGGGCACGTGGACAGCAGGCAGCGGCAGTGGGAGAGCCAGGACAGCGGCAGGGTGCTGGGCCCGGCAGGGCTCAGCCAGGGGCAGAGGATGGGTACCACGGGATGCTCAGTCCGCTCATCCACCCAACACATGCACCAAGGGAGCCACGTCCCAAAGCCAGTGGCCCCAGCCTGGGGCAGAGCTGGGGAAGGACACGGCTTCAGGGACCCCTGCGAAGGGGCTGGTTCCTGGGGACATACTGGCAAAGACCGTGACGTTGTCCTGGTAGGCCTGGTTCAGCGTGTAGTTGACGATGCTCTCCTCATCTGGGAAGCCTTTGAAGATGTCCACGCTGACCTAGTGGGAGGGGAAGGCCGGTGAGACCCCACTGCCTTCGATGGGTCTAGCACATGGATCCTGCACACGGTGCTGTATGTGCCACCCACAGCCACGCCGCCAGCCCCCGAACCCAACAGTGGATGGGCACCTCCACTGTTGATGTCTACCCCAAAGCTCCTGACACTGCAGAAGCCACTATCTCCTCCAAGGGTCCCGTCCCACGGCCTTAAGGAGGTCTGAGTGAACCTGACCCCTCTTCAGCCCCACAGAGCCCAGCTGCGGGCAGTGGGTGCCGCTCCAGCACCCACGTTCCCACAGGCGGGCACAACCTCACCTTGGCCATGAAGTGGACCCAGCCGCAGGCGGCATTGTCAATGGTGTCCAGCTGCTGGAGCAGGACGCTGGCGTTGGGCAGGGAGAAGTTGCCGTTGAGGAAGTTGTGGAGAACATCGCTGTCAGAGACATTCAGGATCTCTGGGTGCTTGTGGAGGTCAGCGGTGAACTGGGACAGAGAGGGAGGCACAGGAGGGAGAAGCTGGGGTATGTGCTGTCCTCCCCATGGACACAGACAGGACCCTGCGCTCCTCCTGGGGAGGGGGGGACAACGACCACCCTGCACAGGGAACCAGCCTGGTCCTTGAAAGAGCAGGGTGCGCACCCAGGAGCACCTGAGAGCTTCACATGAAGAAGCTACGAGGTGCCTGGGGGCAGGACACCCCCTTCCCAACCCCAGGGCAGTAAAGCTCAGGCAGGCTCGGTCGCCACCGCACTACCCTACCTGCTGGAGCCAGCGGATGCGCCTCTGCAGCCTGCCCTCCTCCAGGTAGGCACGGATCTCGGGGGAGATGTTCAGCCACGCCTTGGCATAGTGGGTGACATTGCCCACAAAGGCAAAGGTCTCGTTGGCCTGGGGGGAGGAAGGTAGAATCACAAATTGTTTAGGCTGGAAAAGACCCTTAAGACCATCATGGCCAACCGTTAACCCAGCCCTGCCAAGCCCACCACGAAACCACGTCCCTAAGCACCACATCCCCCCAGCTTTTAAATACCCCCAGGGGTGGGGACTCAGCCCCTGCCCTGGGCAGCCTGGGCCAGGGCCTGACAGCCCTTTCAGGGAAGAATTTTCTCCCAATATCCAACCTAAACCTCCCCTGGTGCAGCTTGAGCCCATTTGCTCTCGTCCCATCGCTTGTTCCTGGGGAGAAGAGACCGGCCCCCGCCTTGCTACAACCTCCTTTCGCTGAGCCCGTCTGGGCAAGGAGGTCCCCGCGGAGTGGGGTTGGTGGGAGAGGAAGGACAGGGGCCCGGCCTCTGCACCCTCACCTTCAGGATGACCTTGTCCACTTCGGTGCCCACGGGCGCGTACAGGATTTTGGGGTTGCTGGTCATCAGATGCACGAGGAGGCCCAGGTTTCGCTGCTCCTTGCTGGTGAAGCCCAGTGAGCTCATGTTGCCCTGCTTCAGCGCCTCGGGCTCGATCGTCCTGCAAAGGGGGCTCAGGCTGCCAACTCCGCTCCAGCCCCAGCACCCCGCACTGCGGGCAGCCCCCACCCCTGCCTGTGAGGGGCTCCCGTGCCAGCGCGGTGCTGCCCAGCACAGGGAGCTTCCCCTGGCCACGGCACAAGGATGCGGTGCAGCATCCGTTCCCCACAGGCTCATCAAGGAATGACCACGGCTGTTGACCACTGGCGGAGGCCAGGTGGGCTCTCCCGCACCCCTGTCCCGATCAGAGAACACCCAGAGCAACACCCCTCCGCCCCCCAGGGCTCCTACCGGTTGTTGCCGCAGAGGATGGGCTGCAGCCCGGCCCAGAGCTGCACGAATGCGGAGAACTGCCCCTGGGGGTTGTCACTGCCGGCTGGGCCCCCCCCAGCGCCCTCCTCCTCCGCCGTGGTGTTGCCGGCCGTGGCATTGGCGCCAGCCCAGCCGGTGCTGTTGGCAGTGGGCGGTGGGGCCTTGCTGGCGCAGGCTCCCCTGGGCAGAAGCTTGGCCAGCGCTGAGAGGATGTCCACGTCGCGGAGAACCTTCTCCATCTCCACCAGGTCCTCCAGGAGGGCGCGGAGGCGGTGCTGGGCGGCTGTGCTGTTCACCTCGTCCAGCTTCAGCTGCGAGGACGAGCGGGCAAGGGGTTACCTTACAGCACCCTGCTAACCAGCAGGAGGGGACCAAGGGGGACCCCAAGCAGTGGCACATCTGCTTTCTTGGTTAAAAGGTTGGAGCTGTGCCCAGACGGGACCCCGGACTCATCGCTGTGCATCTGGGGCTATCAGGCAGTGGGAGTGCAGGCAAATGCTGGCAGGGTTTTGTTGGGGGACAGGAGATGTCCCTCAGGCACGCAGGATGGTCCTCTGTGACCGCAAGGGACATGTCAAAGGCAAGTGGGATGAGGAGGGGGACCTCAGAGACAGCCTTGAGGAGCTGTGCCACTAGGGACGTTGCCCGTCCCGGGGAGAGGAGCCTGTAGGGAGACACTTGAAGGATGCTGGGGATACCCAGCCCCATCCAACGGGCAGCATCCCAGTGGGTGCCAGGAGGGGGAATCATCTGGGATCCCACCATGGGGTGGTAAAGGGGTGATCAGAAGGGGCGCAGCCGTGTAACAGAGCCCCCATCCCCACACAGCCCCGGTGAGTAGTGAAACCCTGCCCAGGGCTTGTCCCTGCCCCACAGCCGGTGGGAGGCACGTCCCGCAGCCCTGCTCTCACCCTGTTGATGATCTTGGGGGTGTCCAGCTGGTCCCGGAGCTCGGCGGCCAGCTGGGCGAAGCGCTCCCGGCGGACGGCCCGGCTGCCGTTGCAGGCCAGCGCCCGGTACGCCTGCAGCAGCGGCTGCTGCCCGGGGGCCACGCGCAGGAGGCGGCGCAGCCCCCCCGGGCTCTGCTCGCACGTCAGCTGCTCCAGCACCGGCCCGGTGAAGAGGACACCCTACAGGGCAGGGAGCCATGGGGGCGCAGCCCTGGGCGCGGGGGCACTGCGACTGCCCGCCCTGCCAGAGCAGCTGCCCACGCGCTCCAGTTCGCCCCGCGAGGCGCTCACCTCCATCTCGGTGACGAAGGCCTGAGGGCTGTCGGAGGTGGTGGGTGCCAGGGCGGCGCTGGTGAGGCCCAGGGCTTGGGAGAGCAGGCGGAGCAGCGCCGGCCGGCGCGGGGCTGCCGCAGGGTCCCGAAGCGCCCTGTGGACCAGCCCTTCCCGCAGGCTCCTCCAGCTGCTAGGGAGGCTCTTCTGCAAGAGGACCAACGGGGGCAGCTGGTGGTGCGGGGGCTCCCCAGGGTCCCCTCCATGTGTCCCCCCAAGCACACATGAATGGGCCCACAGCACCCACGTCCATGGTCTCCATGGGGAGGGGAAGAAAAGGGGACGCACAGGTGGGGGGGAGCATGGGTCCCCTGCACCCCAGCCAGAGGAGGGAACAATCTCCCCCGCTCCCTCCACAGCCACCATCCAGGCGGTGCCATCACCCATTGCAATGGGAAAGGGAGGCCCAGGCATTGGCGTGCCTCAAAGCACTGGGGGAACTGGTGGCAGCACCGGGACAGGACCCAGCCATCCCCACTGCTGCTCTGGCCACCTGACAGCATCCTGTCACATCCCCTCTGCCAGGATGGACACCCCCAGATTGCCCTGTGGTGGGACACGAAGGGGACGCAGAGGACAAGCTCTGCCCCACCATATCCCCCGCACGCAGCACCGCTCCTCACCTCCAGCTGCGTCATCTTATCACCGGGGCCAAACCCATCCCACAGGTCTCGCTCATGGGTCTCGTCGGGTACCAAAGGAAAGGAACCGAAAAACAGGCGGTACACCTGCACCGGGGACGGGAGCGGGGCTGCCGAGTGCGCCGGGAGCAGAGGCACCCGTTTGCCCAGCTTGGGGTGGCAGGGCACGATGAGTCCCACCCGGGTACCCGCTGACTCCCACCCTGTGGGTCTGGTGGTCAGGATGTGCCCATTCACTGGGGCAGCGTGGATCCCTGCAAAACCCAGCCCTGCAGCGCTGGGTGGTCACCCACCTCCCGCAGGTCATCACCCACCTCCCGCAGGTCATCACCCACCTCCCGCAGGTCATCACCCACCTCCCGCAGGTCATCACCCACCTCCCGCAGGTCATCACCCACCTCCCGCAGGTCATCACCCACCTCCCGCAGGTCATCACCCACCTCCCGCAGGTCATCACCCACCTCCCGCAGGTCATCACCCACCTCCCGCAGGTCATCACCCACCTCCCGCAGGTCATCACCCACCTCCCGCAGGTCATCACCCACCTCCCGCGGGTCAACGCTGGAGCCCAGGAGCAGCTCGGCCGTGCTGTTGGGGAGGGACAGGTTCTGCGCCAGGAAGCGGTGCAGCTCGCCCCGGTCCTTGGCCGCCCATGCCAGCGTGAAGCCGGATCCTGGCAAGGAGCAAGGCAAGGGGGTCAGAGCAGCCCGCCAGCGTTGGGGACGTGGCATGGCCCCACGTGGGGACATATCACAGCTGGCCCTGCCCAGCACACAGCGATGTGGGACACTGGCAGGGCACTGCCACATGCCATCACATCGCTGGGCGCCTGGCGGATGGGCATCTCCATCCCTGCCTGCACAGGCAGCAGTGGGGGCAGGCAGGGCCCAGCCTACCTGCTCGGTTGCTGAAGTGGGTCTCCATGGAGCTGGGCTCGCTGCTGCTGAGTGCCTCCAGGCGTCGGCGCAGCGACTCCAGCTCCTCCTCCAGCCCCGGATGCTGCGGGTCGAAGAGGCTGCTCTGCTCCACCGCTTCACTGAGGTGCTCCAGGAGCTGCGTCACCCTGCGAGAGCCCAGCACCGCTGCGGCTTCAGGGACAGGGACAGAGGGATGGGGACACCCTCCACAGAGCCCTGGGGGGGGCGAGCCCCTCGGCACCGGGGCAGCAGCGCTGCCTGCCACAGGGCACTGCTGCCCTGGGAGCTGCCTGTGCCTCTGCACTGAATCCACTGTGCCAGGGGCGCAGAGGAGAGCCCCAGTGCCTTGAGGTGCCCCCAGAGGCCACCTCCGTCCTCCTCCCAGCACTGGGAACCTGGGAGCCCATGGGGGAACGCGCCGAGATGTCCCCTGCGCCCCAGGGACACGGCACTCTGCACCCAAGCACTTTGGGGGACAGGGGCTTGCGCCTTGTCGCCGGCGGGGCAGTGCCAGCGTGGGAAGGGGCAGGCTGTGAGCGGGAGCGTGCAGGAGCGTGCGGGGCAGGAGAAGGAGGTGCGCGGCAAGGGCAGGACTCACGTGGAGTTGGAGTACTGCAGGAAGCCGAACTCATCGCGCTGGCCGTCGGGGCACAGGGACTGCATGACGGGCAGGATTCCGGCCGAGGTGAGCGGGGCCGCCGTGTAGAAAGCTGAAGCCAGCAAGAGAGCGCAGAGAAGGCCGGGGAAAGTGCGGGCAGGGAGGGAGGACAGGCAGGGGGAGGCAAGGGGGGAGACAGGGAACGACCGGAGAGACACTCAGTTCAGAGAAGCGCGCGCTGGGCCCTGCGAGCCCCGCAGGAGGTTGGCGGCCAAGGTCAGAAGTCTGCAGCTTTCCCACCACGGCTGTCCCCGGCTGGTGGCCCCCTGGGGCTGCGGGCAGCTCCTGCCACGCTGGCTCCTGCCCACTTGCCCCTGCCTTCTCCCCCCCGGGGAGCCCCAGTATGATGCCGACTTCTGCTGCTTGCCCCCAGGACGGCTGCCAACCTCCCTGGGCCTCTTGGCCCCTCTTGTTAGTAACCTCAGAGGCACCGCTGGATCTCCAAAGGAAGAAGAGGAGGAGGAGGAAGAATACGACAGGGAAAGTAGAGTCGTCACCCTCATCTCCCCGAGCCCCCTGGCCTCCCCCCTGCCCGGCTGCCCCGACGTGCGGCTGCTGGAGGTAGGTGGAAATGGAGACACGGGGGGGAGAGATGGAAGAAATGAGGAGCAGCAAGGGGACGGCAAACCTTCCCCCCCTCCGCCGGCACTGAGCCATCATCCCTGCCAGGGTCTTCCCATGTCCTTCCCCAGGGCAGGGCGAGCCTGGAAGGGCCCTGCCCGAAGGGGACCTGAGGTTGTCACTGGGCAGTGCCAGGCAGGGACCCTGCTCTCGCCGCCCCGGCCAGCGGCCCCACGGTTAGAGGCGGGTCAGTGCTGTTAGCACGGCCACGACGGACAGGGGCTGGTGAAGATGGGCTTTTGGCAGGGACAAGGGACAGCCCAGGGCAGGGACGGGCATAGCATGGGATGGGCTAGCAGCCTGCTGGGGTGGCGGGACAGATGGTGGTGGCCATGCCAGGTCTTGGTGACAAAGCCAGCGCATGGGTGGCATCTTGCTGGCCTCCAGGCTCCCAGTAGTGCCACATCCCAGCTCGTCCCAGCTGCAAGGGGCCAGGTCAGGGACCTAGTGGTGGTGCAGGGCTGGGAGCCATCTCCAGCTGCTTGGGGACCAGCCCCGGGGGAGCACAGGCAAGACTGGGTGACCACAGGCCACCACATGGGTGCCAGCACCCAGCAGCTGTCCCGGGAGGGAAGCAAGAAGGGGGAGGACAAGCCTCCACTTGGCCTGGAGAGCCCTCTGCAGCCCAGGGTGCCGGGGACATCGCTGGCAGTGGCCCCAGCACCTGGGGAACCCGTCACCACCAACTCAGTGGGGACACCACCAGTGGGGACACCAGCAGGGGCCGGTCCTGGCTGGGCAGCCCCCGGGGAGGAGCAGGCAGAGGCCACGCTGTGCTGCCCAAGCTCATCTTCACCAGCTGCGGAGGAAGGCGACGGGGTTACAGAGGCGTGGATTAGGCCACAGTGAGTTGATCCAAACCGGGCTCTTTCTCCCCAAAATAAGTAGCCAGCACAGGCAGGAGAAGGGGGGAGGCACCCACCCGCCCCACCAACTTACAGACTGGAGCATGCAGTAGAGGCATGGAGGGCAGGCGGGCAGGGGAGATGGTGGGAAAGAAAAAGAAAACGTGAGCAAAAAGAAAGAAAAACCAAACCAAAAAAACCACACAACACAGAGCGCACGTCAGCGCCGGGGCAGGAACCAGGGCAGCGCCCACCACCGCCCGCACCTGGACCCGCGCTCACAGCTGGGCTCTCCCTCGCCGGCACACGCTGAAACACAAGCTTGGACCATCGTTACACCAGGCTGCCGCTGCCGCCGGCTCCCAGCACCTCCCCTTGGCCCCACCATGCCACTTGTGCAAGGGCACTCGCCAGGGTGGGCATCCCATGGGGTGTCTAGATGCCACCCAGAGCCCTGGCGAGCTGGCAGCTGCGCTCCGCCGCCTCCTCCCAGCGGCACAGCCTGCAGGTACCGGCACCCGCAGCCCCAACCAGAGCTCCAGCAGCACATCTCCAGGAGCCCCCAGCTCTGGTCCCATCAATTTGTCACCCTGCCAGGGCCCCAGAGCCCCCCCCATACCAGGCACGGGGCTCCGCGCAGCACATTTCCCCACCCCCAGCACCGCAAGGAGGTGGGGAGTCATCCCCAGCACCGCCCCGGCTGCTCCTCCAGCACTCAGGGAGACCATGGCTGTCGCAGCACCATCCAGCTCCATTTCCCTCTTCTCCCCCATGAAACGTCCCTGCCGATGGCAGCCACGGGCTGGTGGGCACTGCCACCCCAGGGAAGACCCCCCCCCAGCTGGGACCAACCTTGGCTCTCCAGCCCCTGTGTCCGCCCTGCCAGCCCTCAGCTGCAGCCCCTGCCCAGCGCTATGTCCCCCAAAAGGCCCCTCGGGGTCCCTGCCAGCTGTTGTGGCCCCCCCCAGCCTGTCCCCAGGGTGCTGGAGCAGCTCCTCAGAGCCTCAGGGTGGCCCCAAGTGTGGGGGTCCCCAAGTGCAGGTGCCCCAGGCACCACCCCGCTGGCACTCACCTTCCTTCACAGGGATGGTCGGCTTCTTCTGCCGCAGCCCCAAGAGGATGAAGAAGAGCACCAGGGGGATGAAGATCTCAAAGGCCAGCACCCACTGGGGATGACACAAAGCAGAGGGATCGTGACGCCTGGGGACAGGACCCAGGTACCAAGGAGAAGCGTGGGTGGGACAGGGGTCCCATGTCTTGCATGTGGCTGGTGGCACCGTCACAGCTCAGCCAGAGGGAAACAGGTCCCTGGGCACCCGAGGATCCCCAGCTTGCCCCTGCCTGTACCCTGCCTGCTCCACCCTGCCCAGGGCACCACAAGGGGTACCACAGAGGGGATGGACCCCTGCTCCAGCAACACAAACAGGGTGCTGGGGCTCGAGCCCAGCCCCAACAGGCCACCGCAGCTGAGGCTGCCCAGAGGAGATGAGCCCAAGTCCTTATGGCCGGCAAAGAAGTTGCAGACCCCCATTCCTGGCAGTGCCCTCGCAGTTGGCAGCTGCCTGGCATCACATCCCCCTGCCACCCGTGCCACCGCTGGGTCCCCCCGCAGGGCCATGCAGGGGGCAGACCCCAACACCGTCGGGGTGAGGTTCAGTTCTGCAAGCCATGGCTCCAGGTGTAACCAGGGCACAGCATGGGGGGTCCTGGCACCCCCTCCATGCCCTCCCAGAAGGCTACGGCTGCACAGGATTTCCACTGGCGGCATATGGTAAATCACAGCAAATCCCCAGGCATCCCTGACCCCGATCGCGCAGGCAGCCCAGGCTGGGCTCCATGCCCAGAGGCCCTGGGGATGGGCATCAGCGCCTTCAGCCACCGGCAGGAGCGGGCACCCGGCACGCTGCCAGCGCAGCCGCTGCTGGTTTGCACCGGGAGTGCCCAGGCCACGTCACAGCCCCGCTGCCCTCGCTGTCAAGTGGAGGGGAACTACTGTAGGTGGGGAAACTGAGGCAGGGGGTGAGGTGAGCCAACCTCGGCTTGCTTCAGGGCTGGATCAGACCCTGGGCTGGCGCTGAGACCCCAGCACCTGCTGCCACCACGGACAGGGCAGGCCCCAGCCCTGCTGCTGGGAAGGTGCTTGCTATGGCACCAGTACCTCCCCCCGTGCTCCCGCACCAGCCCAGTCACTCGCAGTGCCCAGGTGCCGGAGGGGCACGCCAGCGGGGTGGGAAGAGAGGGATTTAACACGACAGGGGCTGCCTGGAAGGACACAGCTGGCAGCAGGTGACAGGGTCAGGCCCTCCTGTCCCCAACAGCGTCATCTCCACACTGGCCTCACCTGGGGCTGCAAACGCTCTGCCAAAACGTCACAGCAGCCCAGCGACCCGCAGCGAGCAGAAGGACCCCCAACCCCCACCGGCATGTGGCCACAGCGCTCCTGTGGGCACTGTGGTTGGCAGGGCTGCGGGACGGGCATGGCTGCACCCATGGGTGCCCTCCAGTGCTGCCATCCCCATGCCCAGAGCGGCTGAGGGAGAAGGGCTGGAAGGGACGGGGACGGCAGACACCCCAAGAGCAGCACCAGGGCCGGGGGATCCCCATCTTTCTGCCACCACTGGTCCCAGGCACGGTCCCTGGTGTCACCATCCCTGTACCGGGGGGTGGCAAAGGACACCCCGACCCACTCTGCCCGCCCCTTGGCTCCTGCCCTGCCGCTCGCTGCCTGCACCCGCCTCCCTGCCTGTTTACCAGGCAGACAATCGTGCCTCTGTGCCCAGGCGCCCGTGGGACCTTCCCCCCGCGCCCATGCCGGGCCGTACCAGGCTCCCTTGGGAACTGTTGGGTCCTTGGCAGCGACAGGAGGGATCTGCTTGTTGTTATTTATTTTTTTAAAGTGGGTCATTGACCTTTTGCTCATCTCCTTCCCTAGAGACGTCCCCTGTCCCCAACCCCTCCTGCACCGCTGCCTACCCCAGTGCCAGGGCAGGCTGTCCCCCGCCATCGGCACCCGGGGTGACACGGCGATCAGCAGATGCGGCGGCAGAGCGGGGCTCACCAGCCCGTGCCTCCAGGACCGCTCCTGCCCCTTTGGTCCCCAGGTCCATCCCCACGGAGGGGCTTCCCAGGCACGGGGGGGCCAGGGCTGCCCCCGACCCACAGCAGGGGGAAGGGATGCCATCCCAGGCAGCCTCAGTCCCCCTGGGGGGCAGCACCCAACAGGGGCACCCAACACTGGCACAGCCTGGGGACAGCGGGGTTTCTGCCTGCGGGTGCAGGACACTGGGGGACATTTTGGGATTGTGTGAGGAAGCAAGGGCAGGGAAGGCCAGGATCTGAGTGGCTGAGAAGGAAACACTGGGAGAAGGAGAGGAAAAGGGCTGGTGCTCACCAGCAGCTGGCCATGCCCCGCAGCGACCAGCGTGGTCTGTCCTGTCCTGTCCTCTCAGCCATTCCTCCCTCGCTCCCCCCTCGGTGAGGGCTCTCGCACCTATGTCTGGGGGGGTGGAGAGGGGGTGCAGCACCCGGGGTGGGACATGGGCCCCAGGGGACCTCATGCCCAGGTGACAGTGGCTGGGGGCAGCTCCTGGGCAGTGGCAGAGCTTGGCTGCCAAAGGGATCCACCCCATACACGCCTGTGTACGTACCCCGGCACAATTCACCTCGACCTGCCCAAGAGGTGAGCAGGATGAGGCCATGGTGCTGTCTGGGTTTGCGTGAGTGCTGGGTGCATCCGCCTGCCACTGCCACGGATGGTGGGGTAGGCACGGGACTGCTGCGGTCCCGTGTTCAGCCCTGCCACCGGCTGGATGCAGGGGCAGCAGGATCCTGCCCGACTGCCCCAGTAAGGGAGGCAGAGGTTGGTGGGTGCTACCGGCAGGGTGCTGGCCCCAGGCAGGCAGCTCCCTGGCAGGGGGATGCTCAGGTCCCCGGAGCACCAGGCCAGTGACTCCACGCCTGCTCCCACCCTCTGCCACGCCGGCAGACGGGAGCGGGGCGCTGCGAAGAGGATGAGTGGGGTCGGGAGCCGCACAGCCCGAGCGCGAGGCAGCAGCACCAGCCGGGGACGCGCAGCTCCCACGCTGCCAGGCCAAAAGCACCGACAACCCCCATGGGACGCAGCGAGAGCAAACAGCCCGGCCTGGCGGAGCGGTCCCACTGTGCTCGCCCTCCAGCCAGCACCAGGGGCAGCTGGGAGATGCGCTGAAGCCAGGGTTAGCGCAGCCACAGGTGCTGGGCCATGGACTTTGGCAGGACAACCCCGCCGGCGTCCCCAGGTCACGGCAGCGTGTGTGCCCCCACGGCCGAGCAGGGTGCTCCCTGTGCGGGCAGCCAGGGCAGGCGGAGGCAGCTCTTAACGTCCATCGCCACCACCCAAAAGTCTGCAAGCCCGGCCTCTGAAACCCCCATCCTGCACCCATGGGAGGACAGGGCAGGGTCTGCCTGAGCTCCTCCCTGGGGAGGAAAGAGAGCTGCTGCCTGCTTGCTGCCCGCTCCCTGCCAGCTTCTCCTGCAGGTCCCAGCACTACCCACAGAGCCAGCAGCAGCAGGCGCCGGCCCGCAGGAGCCCCAGGGGATGGGGGTCAGCTCCTGGAGAATCAACACCCCAACTTTTCCAACAGCGTTTTAAGGCTGGCAGAAATATCTTAAAGTTTTTGATGGCTCCAGACTTTAATCATCATTAAATACCCACTTACTTCCCCACAGCTGGGAAGTGCAGGCAGGTGAAGCTGCAGTCGCTGGGAGAGATAAGCACCGGAGCCAGTAGGTGAGCAAGGCCCCGTGGCCGGGCAGACCCAGGAGGCCAAGCTGAGCCCCCACTCCAGGCCAGTCCTGCCCTCCCCGACCACAGACACCCACTGATGGTCACCACCCAGCTGGGCACCTGCCAGGGCTCCTCGAGGCCACCTGCCTGTGCCCTCACCCATGGAGACAGCCATGGCCGGGCCCAGGGACAACTCCCCCGCTGAGGCCTGGCTGCCGTCACCCCTGCCTCTGGTCACACTTGTGCTCAGCGCAAGTTGTGCCCGTCACCTCCTGTCCCACTGCCACCTGCCCCCAGCAAGGGCACATCCCCACCCCTCGCGCCCTGCCCTGCCGCCCTGGCACGGCAGCCTGGGGACATGCCTCGGGGAAGCTGGAGGAGGAGGAAATCCCCAGTGGGGTTTGCCAACACCTCTCCTGAGCCCGGTCCCGCCGTGCCAGAACCGTGAGCCCAGGGAGAGCCGAGCACGGTTCTGCCCCACGGCAGCCCCAAGTGCTGTGTCAGGCGGGCACCAGCGTGCCAGGGCACGGGGGACACGCGGCAGCGCTCCCACACTGGTGCTGGCACATGGCCACCCTCCTGCCGGCACAAGGTGCCCAGCCTGAGAGCAGGCGGGATTGTGCCAGTGGCCACAGTGTGGAAGAAGGCACTGGTTGCAGGCAGGGAGCGAGGCAGAGCCCTGCAGGCTCAGTGGCTCATGGCCACCTGCCCTGTGGGCCACCACAGCCACCAGTAGCTCTGCAACAGGTGCCCCCATGGCCACCCTGCGAGCAGGGATTCACAGGGACACTGCCTGGCACTGCCACACCAGCACCACCCTGCCAAGCCTGCGCGTCCCCCCCGCCTCTCCCACGCCAGCTGCAAACAGCGAGGGGGCAAAGAGCACCCTGAGCCCAGGCAGCGCCGGCCCGATCGATTCCTTCTGCGGGATCCGGCACCAGCCCCCGCCCAGCACCGGGACCTGGCAGTGCCTCTGCAGGCATGGGGTGCCCGGTCCCCCGGCACAGGCGCTGCTGCAGCAGGGCCCCGCTGGCCAGGTGAGCCCTCCCAATACCCCAAATTTCAGCCTTTCTTATTTTGGAGGCATCAAGATCCCCCCAGCTCTGCTCCCACCAGCCAGGGAGGAAGGGGCAGACCTGCCAGGACAACTCCTTTCTGTGGTGGGAGCTTCCCAGCTCCCGGCCAAGGAGCAGAGGGCACAAACCCTGCACAGGGCAAAGCAGCCACGCCGCTGCCCAGCTCTCCCCTGCCCCACATGCATCCTCCCCGCAGCCCAGGGCCGACGCCGCGGGAGCCCCACCAACATGCTGCGACACCAAAGCAGCACCCAGAGCCTCGACTCCTGCTCGCTGTTCCTCCGAAAGAGCCCCGAACCACGAACATTCCCCCAGGGCCAAGCAAAAGCCGGCAGCACACTTCCATCCCCGGCACTTCAGAGCCGGGAGCTCCAGCTGCAGTCGCCTTCCCGTCCCAAACGTGTGGGCACAGAGAGCCACGGGGAAGGCGGCCAAACACCCTGAACCGCACCTGTGGTAACTTTTGAGAGATGACCTGTTCATTTTACATCCAACATAGGTTTAAAGCAGCTACCAAAAGTCAGCAGGGAGCCCACCCCTTAAGATGCACACCGCCTAGCTCGCCCCCATCCCAGCAGAGCCAAGGCGACGCAGACGATGGCACAGCCTGCACTGCCCAGGGCTCCCATCCGCACCCCAGGGGGCTGCCCATCCTCAGGCACCCACAGCCCTGGCTTCCCTCCGACAAGACCCACTGGTGCTGTTCTGCTCAGACTCCCATCGCCCCAGGGCTCCTGCCTGAATTTCTGCCCTGGGAAGAATAAAATCACAGCCACATCCCAGAGCAGCCCCCAGAACGGCTCAGCCACGCTGCGCAAAGTCCGACGCTCCCATGGGCTGGGCACGAGGCCTTACAGAGGCGCCACGGGACAGCGCCCAGCTCGACCATCACCCTCGCCAGGCTGCAGGCGAGCTCGTCCGACGACAAAGGGGGTTACAGAAGCAGGTGACACATGGCACTGTGGGTCAGGAGCACACCTCACACCTCTCTCGAAGGCCACCCGGTCGCGCAGCCTCCCTGTACTCACCACTGCTGCATCCACAAGCAGACCAGCCAAGCCCTCACCAAGCGCCTGCAGACAAAGTCCATCCCAAAACCACTGCTGCACCTCACCGCAGCAATGCTGCCCAAACAGCCCCTGGTGCTAGGGACAATGAGGACTCCCTCAGGGCCACCAGCATTCAGGGGCAGCGCTGAGGACCGGCCCCAGCTCTCTCGAGTCCCAGCCCAGCACCCGCAGCCAAACGCGAGGTGTCTGCTCCCCATCCCATCCCACAGCACCAGGGCCGCTGCTCTGCATCTGCCGGGAGGAAAGCACACCGCAGTGAGGCACCCACCCCAGGGCAGCCCCCGCAGCACGGGGCTGTGCCAACGGGCAGCTGCTGGCAGGGCACGGGCAGGGCATGCACCACACTCCCTCTGTGAGAAGCCCAGCACCCCTCAACTCCGACCCCCCGGGGTGAACCCCCAGCAGGGGAGGGGGTCGCATGCTCACCCCGCTCCAGTCCCCCCAGCCTCTGCCTGCCGCAGCAGGATACGGAGCTGGTTTTGCTCAGTGAAACATCCAGCTCCGGATGGGGCCA